TTTTGTAAGCCAAGCGACGTTGCCTTTGATCTGCGATCGCTGCTTAAACCTTGTTAAACGGAGACTTTCCACCAAGAAAGACGATAGAACAGTTGATTTTCGTTAGCCTAAACCCAAAAACGGTGTCAGCCCAACCTTTGCTTCCTCCAGCGCCCGAACGTCAGATGCTGGAGGACAAAACACTCATTAACGAAGGCAATTACATTCGCGAGCCATTTCATCAGCGCCGGCCTCAAGAGCCGCTTAAGATGCGCTTTTCTGAAAAAAACGTGTGCACATCTGCGTACATAGGTGCGCGTGTTTGTTCATGAGTGTGTATAGGATAGGGATATGATAAACCCAATAAACACAGCCACTGTGCGTTCACTGCAGAATTTTATAAGGTCTTTCTTACTGTTCTTCTGACAGAGAGGGGTCTTGGGGGGAGTTCGTTGCGTTTTTTCTTTCCTTTCTGCGATTCCTGTCGAAGGTCCAAATGCGACTCTGGATCGTCCGTCACAAATACAAGCAATCTTCGAATAATTGCTTACACATGCAGTGGCAAAACACGCAGGGTCCCGCACTTACCGCCAATCCCTGCAACTCAGAAAATGGCAAAACGGTCAGTGTCTCGAGTTTTTCTCGTTCCTGCTGTTGCTTTTTTTTCTTCAATTTTTTCTTTCTCTTTCTTTTTTTTTTTTTTTGTATACACAACGGCTGCGAGATTATCATGCCTGAAATATGTGGGCGTTCATTACAGATAATCGTAACGTAAACCAGGGTTCCTCCACCTCCAATGGCAGCAATTAATTCGGGCCTGCTGGGCCCGATTCTGCCCTCTGCCCTGGACGTTGCAGTCCAGGTTGTGGGAGCGTAACGCAGGGTATAAGTAGGCCCGTTAGGCGCAAGTCCTTTCCATTAACCCGCACTGACAGGTTGACCTTCGACTGATATTTCTCCGCTGCCTCTTTACAAAAATCCGTTTTCTTGTGGGTTTATGTTCTTGCGGGAGTTCCCGAGCGGTAGCCTGGGGACGAGATGGGTCGCACCCCTGGGACACGGGCTGCCTCGGCGTCCCCAAACCCAGCCCAGGACGATACCCCTTCCCGATACGTTTGGTCCCGGGTCGGTGACATCATGCACTCTATAAATTCAAGCGCTTCTCGGCTTTTCGAGCCGTGCACCGGGCGATGCGGTAGGCAGCCGGGCGGGAGGAGGAGGAGGAGGCAGGA